TATATAGTGGGTATAGTGGGTATATATATATATATATATGGTATAGTGGTAACTGGTTATATATATGGTATAGTGGTTATATATAGTGGGTATAGTGGGTATATATATATCAGGAGTACATAATAGGGTATTATGTACTCCTATTGGGTAGTACTTCTATAGGGTTATGTAGTTATGTAGTTATGTAGTTATGTAGTTATGTAGTTATGTAGTTATGTAGTTATGTAGTCCTCCTTGGTTATGTACTCCTATAGGGTATTATGTACTCCTTATGTACGCCTATTATGTACTCCTGATATATATATATATATATATGGTATAGTGGTAACTGGTTATATATATGGTATAGTGGTTATATATAGTGGTTATAGTGGTTGATATAATCAGCGTATATGTACTTCTATCTCTGTAGGAACGGTACGAGCACGCTACCTGACACGAGTCTGCGGATTGAAGCCCATAGGCTCACTCCTACCCCGGCGCCTGCGTTCTCTACAAGTCAGGTGAAAGTTCTGAACATCTACACACAGGATCTCGACTGGGCGAAAACTAAAAGCGATAGTATAGCCGGTAGGGTATATTTTGCGTACTACGTACTTTGTATTTTTTTTAGTGAAACTGAAAAAGAAATGTCGATGCTGGCAATGAAATTGATGTAACGGGTTGTTGTTATGGAACTAACAGTGGTGAGCGAGGGTAAACAAAGGTGTACATTCATTTTTCACGCTTGCTGCCCGCAATATTTTGCACCCAGTAGTATTTGGATATTTTTTTTCACAATTGTCAACGGTATGTGATGTTGTGTTAGTGATTACACCATTGGAATTAACGCGTGTTCAAGTGTTAACATATAACTAGTGACGGTGGCTCCTGCTACCAGACTGCCGTATATAAGCGCTGCACGTGCGGTAGTCGCTCTCTTTACATCATGTAAGCAAGCCACACTGACGTGTGAATAAACAGCTCCTAAGTTACTCACAATCTTATACGTTTCTATAACGCAACATGTGATACCGCTGGTTTCTGATCTTCTGCTGATACGTACACACCAACGTGTGTCAGCGATCGGGGTTTAACAGGCAGGGGCCCGTTATCAGAAACAAAATTAGTCTTAACATTAGTCTTAACACTAGTCTTAACATTAGTCTTAACATTAGTCTCAACATTAGTCTTAACATTAGTCTTAACATTAGTCTTAACATTAGTCTTAACATTAGTCTTAACATTAGTCTTAACATTAGTATTAACATTAGTCTTCGCACATTGGTCCTACCATTAACTGATGGAAAACGAAGTATCGTGTGTTGATCTCTTACCAACCGACTGACGTACCAGTAGATTTGTTAGCCTAGTCGACAGAGGCTTTGGTCACTGAGATCCTAAGCCAGATGACAATCTGCGAGCACGGCAAAATCTACATACATACCCACATACATACATGCATACACACATGTCTACAAACATAGATAGATACATACATACATACATACGAACGCACGCACGCATGCACACACATACGTATGCCTACATACATGCCTACATACATGCCTACATACATATGCCTACATACATACATACATACATACATACGTACATACATACATACATACGAACGTACATACATACATACATACCCACATACGTACATACATACATACATACCCACATGCCCATGTACATGCCTACGTACATCCATACGTACATGCTTACGTACATGCCTACGTACATGCTTACATACATACGTGCATACCTACGTACATACCTACATACATACCTACATACATACCTACATACATGCATACATACATGCCTACATACGTTGCACTACTTTTTTACCCACTAGATGGCACCATGGTCGCCGCCCGTGATCTAGAGTATGACTCTCGTCGGAGCTCGATGACGTCGATCGGTCAAAACATGCCGTTGCAGTGGGTCGACTTTGGCATCTACGACTATCTCAGCTTCGCTGAGTACACGGAAGTCGACGAGGAGTACGATTCGGATGACCCCAACTTCAGTCTGAGCGTCGGGCCACCTAACATCTAGATATAGCGACGCCGCCCGCTGGAATCACGGTAGGTTTCGCATATAAAACAATATATATAACACAATGATGAATCAACAAATATTGCATTGTGTGTTGCTGCATGGTGTGAGATACTGCACTGGGTATTTCTAACACAATGATGAAACAACAAATACTGCATGGTGTGACGCTACATAGTGTGAGATACTGCATGGTGTATTTCTAACACAATGCTGAATCAACAAATACTGCATGGTGTGTTTCGAACACAATGGTGAAACAACAAATACTGCATGGTGTATTTCGAACACAGTGATACACCATCTGTATTGTTAGATACTGCATGTTGTGTTTTGAACACAATGATGAAACAACAAATACTGCATGGTGTGTTACTGCATGGTGTTAGATAATGCATGGTGTATTTAGAACACAGTGTTCAGCTAAGCGCCTGTGCATCGTGCATTGGGGACATATACTACATGGTGAACAGCGATGAATAATGACATATACTATTACAAGGATAGAAATTAACTTTTGAACACGGGAGTTCAACGGACTCCCTACCATCAAAAAGAGGGAGTCTGCAGCAAAATGGGGGAGTCCATCCTGAGGTTCAAAATTAAAGATATTAACAATAACGCATGTGCTTATTTTTAAAATTCATTCGGTTGCAAATCTGCCAAATTTTCTTTGGACATGAGCTGAAAAATAAGGCAATTCCGCGAGGCCGTGCTCTGGAACGAACTAATTAGTATGGCAGAATTTTCAGGGAGTCACACGGACTCCTGCATATTATATATGATATATCCTATGCCAAATCAGGGAGTCCGACAGTAAATCAGGGAGTATTCGACTCCGGACTCCCGTTAATTTCCAACCTTGTTATTATCTGACATTATTCACCTGCCGATGGTGAGTATTCAAGCAGCAGATCTGCCTGCTCCTTATACTTGCGCGCTCATTTAATAGGTGTATATATTCATAATGCTATTATCTGCTGCGACGCTAACCAGCGTCTATATAATTGGCACAGCTACGCGGAATGTCGCCGCCATTCCCCGAGGAGGATATAGATAGAAGCCGGCAAGGTATCGTCTATCAAAAGAGGACGTAAACAGCTCCCATCTTAATTATGTGTGACAGGCAGGGTATTAGTAGGCTGCATGACATGTAAAGGCAGGTGTAGGATGACAATTCATACAAAGCTTAAGCCTAACGCAGACCTGCGACTTTTTCATGCAACTCGACAGTGATTCTAGAATCGCTATAAAAATTGCTGTGAAATCACTACGTCTGCGGGAACGTGCAACTGGAACCCGAAGCGACTCTGGTCGCTTGCGACGAGTTGCAAGAAATCAAACTGTTTTGATTTTGAGCGACTCGTCGCTCCTAATCGCTCCCAAATTGTTCTAGAATGTGCGCACACGCCGTGACACATCGACCGATCGCTTGCGGTTGCAGGTTGCAGCGACGAGCAACCAAAAATCACAGGTCTGCGCTAGGCTTAAATGGCCGGACACACTAGGCGATTTTTAATGCGATCTAATCGAGCGAGTAAAGTCGCTTGGCAAAATTGCCTAGTGTGTCCATCGCCGCGACCGACGATTTGCAGCGGCGACTTAGTCGCCCGATTCGATCGCATCGATCAGAACGTTTTGATATTATCACGCCACTTTTTAATCAATCGCACTTCAGTCGCCTAGTGTGTCCACTTCGTCGATCACTTTAACTCGACTGAAAAATTCACCAGCCAATCAGAGTTGTTCAATCATACTGACGTAATTAGACAAAATGGCAGCTTCAATGGAGTCAACGTGGTCTTCTGACAAAGTGGCAGAATTGATCACTTTGTGGGAGGCGAATCCCCTCTTATACGATGTGTCCCTGTCTGAGTACAGGGACAGAACGAAGAAGGAGGCCGTAAAGATATCGATGGCAGCGAAGCTCGGCGTCACCGGTAATTGACCGGGGAAAATTGATAAACAATACACGTGTACTGTAGGCCTAAAGTAAGCACTAGTACAAAAATACAAGTCGCTTCGCTACAAGTCGTCACGATCCCGTTTTATTTGTACACAAATTGTCTAATTTTGTAAGTCGTGTAAACGCTTTCGTACATATATGTGTGGTGGCGGTAGTGCACGGTAGGTGGCGGTAGGAACTCGCCGTCAAAAATCGCGTGATGTGTCCACTCGACTCGCGCGATCAAGTTTCACTAGAATTATCGGGCGATAAAGTCGCGCAACTAGTTGTCAGAAAAAATCGCCTAGTATGTCTGGCCCTTTAGTTAGTCAGCGTAGCCTGAGTGTAACCCGTTACAGAATACGTCGTGATCGTGACAAGTAATATTATTAAATCTTTATTGCATGTAAATCAAATACAAGTACATGTACTGACGACAGTCTTTTTCATGGAGAAAAAATCTGATAAATGCAATATAGTGTTGAGCAGTTAAAATAATAAAATAATATCAGGAATATCTATCTTAGCTTACATATTAAAGTCTTATATACCTTAGTGACGAGGAGTTATCTGCTGCAGTGATTATCACCATGATCATCACGTCTGAAACAAGGCAATTCTGAGCAACCAGGGCCGTAGGCTGAGCAAATTACACATATAATTATCAAGAGTATATAATGGGAGTTCTCCCATATATACTCTTCGTTTCTATAATGTACGTCGATGGTTGCTCAATTAAAACTGACTTCTTCTCACTCACTCATTTGTGTCCTTTTTTGTGGTGAGCTACAGTGTCATTGACACTTTCATTTTTCTCCTAGACGGCTGCAGTTTTTTTTCTGTTTTAGGTCGACCCCCACCTTCTCAACTCCGGAGTAACGACGAAAATTGGCACGTGGCAAGAAGGAGTTCGTCGGATCTGTGCTTGGTGCGTGATGTATCTGTGCCTGACGACGCTGTCGAGTCGAGCGCTGTGTGCACACGATCGCAAAAAAACACGAGCTTGTTTCGCAAACCTAACGACGTAAGCACCCGCCGGATATTGTGAAGGAAAGGCTTTGATTGCCCTGCGATGCGGTTTAATGGCAACAGTGCGGGAAAATGAAAGGTCGAGGATACGAGGGGGCGAGAGCCTGATCTGCAGGTTCGTAGTAAGGGTGCGCATTAGTGTATCTATTGCGTAGGTCGCCGATTCGATAGCTACAATGCCAGCAAATAAATGTAGCTGTGGCCCCGATTTATTCAAAAGCTAATAATACCCCTTGGTATTATTAAGGTATTATTAGCTCTTGATCGTATCTATACCTATAGACCCGCTTCTAGGAAATTGCACTTTTGGGGTCAAGCCGCAACCAACCAGGCTGATTGTTTAAGGCTTTGGCTGTTATGGCGTCTGAAGCGAATCTGGCCGATTCAAGCAAGGCGGTGAACGGTAGCTCATAATAGAGTATTAGTACAGTCGGTTAGGTCAGAATATCATCTAAATCGTTCAAATTGTGAAAAAAGTGTGAAAATTGG